TAGCAGTGGGCAAACAGAGCAACAACACTTAACATATTCAAGGAACAAGTTTTTAAAATTCAGGGTAGGATCAACCAAAGCTGTATAAATGTTGAATTTTACTGAGTTTAATAGGTTCCAAAACACTTTTTTTCCTGGATAAATAGGAAATATTCCTACTCTACATATTAATACACGCATAATTCAGCCACAGTCTGTGGGTATACAGAAGGGAGAAGCCACTGCATCTTATGATGCTTTAAGAAGGCTTTTCTGAACTGTTTTAGTAGAAAAAAGTGACACTTTTTAACACACAGGATAAAAAGTTTCACCTGTACAACAATATAGGCTTACAAGTAATTTTGATGGATATGATAAAAAAATACAAGCGGAACTTAAACAAGCAATGGAAAAGTTACTGAATAAAACAAGGTTTCAAGTAAGATAAAGACACAATCCACATGACAGCAAAGAAACACCGTGCTCAAAATCGGACCACCACTGTTTTCATTTATGACTGGCTGGAACACCCTGCCCTGGACTGCAATTCTAACAGAACCCAAATGAAGCCAAGTGCCATTTACAGGCCACCAACTATGTTCAAATGAAATACTAATCTATGCGATCACCAAGCTTCTCTCCTCAAACTCGTCACAGGAAATATTAAGCACTATGACAAACTAGTTCACACCATTGAGAGAATGCATGGTCAGTTCCTCGCAAGTAAGCAGTTATGCAGTCTAAGGAAAAGAAAGAGGAAAAAATAAGACATTAGGAGCAACAAAGCTAGAAACAGTTAACTAGTGCCTGCCATTCTAGTAAAACAAAAACGCTCCCCAAAGTTTTTTTGATCTTTCTTTCCTCACATTGACTTGCAGTTTGGGGCATCTGTATAAAGTTTATTGAAAAATTTAAACAAGGAGCATTATGTTAGTTGCTTATTATTTTCTAATTTAAGCACTGCAGTAACACAGCTCAAAATTATGACTAAAATACCAGCAGGAAGGAAAAATTGCTGGCACAAACTCCATGATCTCACCTGCTGAAGGATAGCTCCAAGGGAATTCTTGTCCTTTTGGTTTACACCATCTCTCTGCAAGCGAACAAGTAACTCTGGTTTCTTGTAACTTTTCAGTGCCAGCAAGTGAATCACCCTGTCCCTGTACGGCCGCTGAGAAACAGCATTCGGTGTTTGAGTCCTCCGTATCACATTTGCAAGGTTCATGGGTGTCGATCTCTTCCTCTCAGGCACAGCATCTCGAATGCTTTGTGGTGCTTTTCCGCCTCGTACTCTTTTCCCTAAAGGAAAGGTTAAAAAAAAAAAAAGAGAAGAGTGACATGGGAGCCTGGGAGAAGACAAGAAAGTTGCTCTAAAAGAATTTACCAAGCCAGATAAACTGTAAGAACTGTATTTTATTAGCATTTCAAGATCTGTAAGAATACAGGTAGTAAAGATGCATCAAGCTAGGCATTAACAAAGAAGTGTTCAATACCTAAAAAAGCTGGTAAATGAATGGTATCAGCTGATTACTTACATAGATGGTGCTTTTATTATACTTCCAGTTTATAAGCTCAAGTACTCAGTATCCCAAATCAGGCATTTTTTTTTAGAAGATTACTCTAAAGTGTGATGCAAAGGTCTTCCATGTAAGTAAAAGATTCCCCATTAATGTCTAAGGAGACCAAGTCTACACAATTAATTGCATCACTGCTTAAAGAAACTACCAACACTTGGTGTTAATCACTTGAGTTACCATTATGTTACACCATATTTTAAGCTGAAATGTTCCCCTCTTATTAAATAAGCCCAGGTTGTCAGAAACAATACACCAAGAATTGAAGAATTCTTGGGACCAAGGCCAGAGAAGTTTTAAAACATGGCCTGCACAGCATTTTGGATCGAACTCTATAAAAAGACATGTTACTCAACTGAAGGAACAATGCAAGTATTTGTAAGCAACGCATCCAGAATTTAACAATAATACCACCCAACCTGAATCTCAGTTTTCCAGAAAATGACCCAAACTTCTCTACCCTGTGTTTTTAAATAGCATTTGCTATCACACAGAAAAAAAAAAGATTTATCAGAATATGACAGAAAATCATTGTAGCAAAAATTGTTTGCAATCCAACAGAGGATGTGACACAAATCAGGCATTTTTCTGAAACCAGTAACTCGTGTTTGGTACTTCGCGGAGACTTAAGTATTTTTCAGAAAATCTGGAGCTTGCTCTCTTGCATCAGACACACAGAGACTGAGCTGTGCTTATGTACTCCTTGCTCTCAGGAACAGCTAAAATTTGTTTCCGTTTTTGCAGCGGAGGCTCAATCTTTATAACCTTTCCAACCTGCTTGTTCCCTAGGCTTTGCGCTTCTGGTTTTAAAGAACAAAACTAATCATGCAAACACACACAGTTACATTTTTAGAACAGTATGAACTTGCCAGTTGTTTACTGAATGCATTACAAACTTTTTGACAAGTTAAATTCAACGTAGATACACAAACCCTCAGCACATCTGATAGTGTAAGCAGCATTCAAACAAAACACCTCATGAAGTCATGTCTCTGAATCACTCTTTAAAAAAAAAAAACCTAACTGAAAACATAATCAAGCATTAACATGGTTAACAACCCCGGTTTCTAATTTGTACTGCATGAAGCATGTTGTAAAGTCACCCGTGTCCTACCAGCAACTAGACCTGCTGCTCCTACATGAGATTCCTCAATGCCACTCTGAAACAAAGGCACTCCCAAAAACTGTAATTGTCCTACTGCCTGATCCCATTTAATTAATGTTAAATATTCACTTCAGATATATTCAAACCATCAACAAGAATCACACAAATCATTCGCATGTAAAATAGAACTTTCCCAATGAGAAGTTTTGAAATACATGAAAGTGGCTCGTCTCACACTGCCATTAAAGAGCAGTTTAGACAATACAGGGCAAGCAATCCCAGCTCGATGTCCCAGTCTCAACCTGTGCCAAGCTCCCTCAGTGTCACGGCCACACACACTCAGTTTTGTATCTCCCAAAAGCCATGACGATGCTGGCTTAAAAACGCTCTGCAGTAAACCGAGGCAGAGCAAGCTTTGCACCATCACTGTCACTGACGTCTGCGCTGGCGGAGGACCGCAGCCACAGCCAAGTGAGAGCCTGTTTTACTTAATGACGATGGATATACCTGGTTCAGCTCGCTGCCGCAGGCAGGACCGCGGCTGCCTGTACCACTGAGTGCCTATAAGGTGGATGCTCACCTTGCGTCTATCTGCAGCCGTCTCCGGGCTCCTCAGGGAAACGGTACTCACAACAGTTTAATAATGAATGATACCAGCTAAACACTTTTTGTTTTGTGGAAAATGATACAATCCATAGGAAGATGCCAACATTACCTTAAACTTTTTTTTTTTAAAAAAAAAACAAACAACAAAACCCACACGTGGTCTTGTGGTAACAGTTGCTTATTAATGACCAAGACATAAAACAAGTAAAATTTACTCAGCCTTAGCAAGTGTGAAAAAGAAAGTCTTTCACATTAAGTTTATGAATTTATATATGAGATTTCCTCAATGTTAATTTTTTTTAGATTACAAATTAAGGGTAATGGCTTAGCACAGTACTTAGGTACTCAAAAGTGCTGTTACAAAAACAAAACATTAGCTACTAAACCAGAGCATTTAAGTGCATGGGGTGGTAAAAACCCTCACCTCAATGATCAAAATTTCAACCAGTCAAGCAATATGGGAACAAGGAAGGACTGGTAGGCTTTTTTGGGAAAAAAAAATAAAAAAAAAGGGCTAATGTTTGACTGCAGCAACAGGAGACTGCAAATCTGTAACACGAGGGCAAGCTACCTACACCTGAGGTCTCTGAACACACCACCTTTCCCAAGAATATGCTGAAAAGACGAATTACTGAATTTAAAAACGTACAGATATCTAGTAAAAAATGAAATACAACCATACCTAAAAATGGTCCACCAGGTTTAATAACCTTTGTACTTCGATTGCGCGACTCCTCTTCTGCCTGGGTCATGCGCTCTCTGGTCGTCTGATAGGAATCACTTGTTGCACATACTGTAATTTTATTCTGTATAGGTCCCAGGCAACTGAGTTGCGAGGCTCCAGGACTATAAAAACATTGAAAAAGGTTGAGCCCAAGCACTAGTTCGAGTTTAGAAGTATGGTTGTATCAGGAACTTTAAAACCTGTCTTAACAGGTAAAGAAAAACGTTTTCCGGTTCTGACAGCTAGCTAGGGCGTAAATATGTTTCAAATTATCTCTACACATCCAAACTGTATCAGTTTTACCTGTCGGTGTAATTATAATTTCCTCACATAACCGTACTCGAGAGGCAGGCCCAGGCTCAGGGCCGTACTGACAGACTGCTGCAGAGACAACTAGGGGGACAACTCGGGCGGTTACGCCGGCACCCTAATGGCGGGCAGCTCCTGCCCCGGAGGCTTTCCACCGGCCCACGTCTCCTTTCCTCCGCCTGAGGTGGCCGGTGGTAGCCCCAGGCTCTCTGGGGGGCGCGGGGGTTAGCCCCAGGCTCTGTGAGGGTCAGGGAAGGCGAGCCAGCCTCCCCTCCAGACCCGCGCACCGCCTGGCGCCCTGGTCTCCCCTCATCTTGTACTCGAAGATGTCCGCCTCGTGAGGAGAGGGCTTGCGGCCCACCCGCCTGCTTCTCGAAGGATTTGTGTTCGAACCGAGGCACGTAGAGCAAACCCCGCATGAGGAGAAGGACGGCGAGGTCTCCTCGACAGCGTCAGGGCGGGCATTAGGTCTCAGGAGGTGTTCCTGGAGGAGACCGGCCCTCCACGGTCAGTCCAAACGCGTGCCTGCAGCGCACCGTGCCCGGCCAGGAGGGCACCTCGACTGACTGACAGCGGCTTCGTTTAAACTGCACTAATTATCAACGCTCTTCATGAGTACACTGTGCGGCACACGCCGTTGCAACAGCTCTGACCAAGGAAAGGACATCGCCTTTAGCTAACCCGAAACACTTTAACCACCCTAAACCTCGCCAGCAAGGCTCCAAGAAGAAGGGTCAAGAATCTCAGGTCTCAACACATGGTTTCTGAAAGTCACAAAGCTGGACCGCAGACCAATATTTCAAGATGATACAGCTTACAGTTTTGTCCATAATCCAGAGCTATGTAATGATTCCCTTGCTCCAAAATCACCGCATCTCCAACAACAAAAAAAAAAGGTCCTTCTTGCCATTTAAAGCACAGCTTTTACCCGTTGCCCATTTCCTTGAACATCACTGCCTTGATGCACTTTTTCACCACAGGACCAGCCCAGCACTGACCAAGATGCTCTGAAATCCCCCTCCTAAGGCTGGGCACTTTCAAAATCCAAGCCAGTTTTGAAGCTAGACCTGCCATGAGCACAAAATTGGACCAGACACTTTGCAGGGGTCCTTTCTGCTTCTTTGTGTGTGTTTTTTTGGTGTTTTTTGTTTGTTTGGTTTTTGTGGTTTTTTTGTTGTTTGTTTTAGTTTGTTGTTTTTTTTTTTAAATGACTGTGTGTAACACTGTACAAGTTTTGCATTAACTTTGCAGGCACTTTGCACAAACTGAGAGCTGGCTACAAAGGATCTTGTGAAAGCTAGTCTGAATCAGATTTTGAAGAAGGTTAGTAAAACCACATTAAAACGACCTAGGCATGCTATTCAGAATTATTCTGAACTAAAGCAGCTTAAATTTAATCTTACTTAAAAAAAAATACATAGTTTAATTCAACTGAAGGTGCTCCTTCCCAAAGAAGAAAGTGCCCTCAGAGATGCTCAGGAGAGGCAAGGCAGGCACAGAGACAGGACCCCTCACCCCCGGCATGCAGTCCTGCCACTTGCTGTGTGTCAGCCTTTGCAGCTGTCTGGCCCCTTCCAGATACAGTTTAATCAAAAAAAAAAAAAAAAAGAAAAAAAAAAACCCAAAAATCAAAAAACCCACACTGCCCCAGGTTCCCCCAGGTCTGCCGCTAAACCATTCGGCTTTTTGCCAATCCCATCGGTTACGTGAGTTCACTGAAAGGCTGTATTGTAGTAGGAAATACCTAACACAAGGGGAGAAAGAGGAGGCTGAGGATGCTGAGAGATCACCTGTTAGGCAAAGAGCTATTAAATCAGCTCATTTTCTTATTGCTCCCAAAACCCACTATCTAGACAAATCTCTGTTTTGAAAATAAGGGCAGAAGCCCTCCTGTGATGAGAACGTGAGCAGCACCTTTTGGAGACATGTCGGTGTGCCCGTTTGCTATCAGCTTCCCAGATCAATACACAAATTCTGCCTGCGATGTCCTAGTTAATCGAATGGGACAGTTATTCAACCCCATCGATATTACGCTGAATGTAATGTTCTAGAAGCTGAAAGAAACAATGTAAAAGCACAGTATTTTCTTGCCTTTTCAGTAGGCATTAACAGTGTTCCTTTTGTCTCAAAGGACCAGGACAAGGCGCTGCTGTATTACATTTGGGTTCTGAAACACCACGACCGTGCAATTACGGATAAGGTCACTGATTTATGTGGTTCTTAAAATAAGACAACTATCCATCATGGCCAGCATGCTAGCATGCTGCCAGCCATAATCATATTTACATATGGTTGTAGAATGGATCTGGTCTAGCTTGGATGATGCTGAGCTCCAAATGCTTTTAAAAATAGCATGAAGAGGTGAGAAACTACTCAAAAGGTTACCTTTTTAAGAGCAAAACCAAAAAGAATTCTATATAAAAAGAAGTATTTATAATTAGCAAGAAATCATGCCACGGCTAGGAATTAATTTTCTACTGCAGCCCATCACTAGGAGCATGCTTCTCTTAAAGGTTTTTTGCTATATGCTCAAAGCCACAGAATCTACTTAAATTTGCCATGAAAGAAAACGTTAAGTAAAACTTACCTTGAGTTTACCTGCTGGACACAGTCAAAGCTTCCCTGAGGACTATCTTTGCCAACATTTGACAAGTAGAAGTTAAAAGTATGCACTTCATTTGGCACATCAACTTCGGGAATTTTAAAAAGCTAAAAGGGAAAAAAAAGGTTTATGTAAAAATTTGATCTGTGCTCCTTGGCTTGCGATTAACTAGGACCATAATTTTAAATGAGAAACTGTATTTCAAAAGTTTTGATATGATTTCAGTCACAGCACTAAAAAGGTTGCTTTGGCACAAATCTCCCTCTGAAAGCAGCGCCGGCTACGTGTCTGTCACAGCAGTAACCGCACTGGAAAAGCTACAGTCACTCAGCCTCTCATTCAGCAAAGCATTTAAGTAGCAAGTCATCCTTTCCCATTTAGTGGAACTAATAGGCACGTGCTTAACTTTAAATGCAAGTGCCCAAGTATCATCAAGCAGATGGAAGCTCAGCAAACAAAACAGCCGAAAGCAATTTGCACAGACCACATCGGACACTGCCCCAACTCTGTGATTTGTTTGATCCTAACGAAGCATGTACGGGAGTCAGCTCCAAGAAGGAAAACAAACGAGCAACACCCAGATTACAAGAGTAAAACTTCTTAAACTACGAAGGATGAATTTCAACTCCAACAGGTGCTAAAAGCCTTTTCCTTTTACTTAGCTCTAGATGCCATTATTTGCATAAATGTGAAATGTAAATAGTTTTTTTTGTAACTTTAGTCAGATGTAACAAAACTTCATTTCCTCGGCTGAACCAATCACTTAGTACAGAATGTGCCACATTCTGCTGGACCTCAAAAATGTAAATATGATAAACCATTAAAGTGTTTATTGGCATAAGAACATTTTTCAATGTGCTGCTATACAAAACAACACTGAAGCACAAAAAAATCTACTGCCATCCAACCACTTTATTTCAAAGGTAAAATTATCTTGCAGTAAATCTAAAAAGCTCTTATTCTGAAATTTGCCTGAATTTTTAACAGAATATTAAACACAATTGACAAAGAAAGATATGTAAAAGCAATATTCAGCAGCCTCTTGGAAACGTTTCTCTCAGTACTTTGCTTGTGAGATTGGCCAGTCTTCATAAATGTCAGTGTCATTTGCTCAAAGTGTTACTACAGAACTATTCCATTGCCATTTATGTTTTAATCAACAGTACTGGCAGAGCTTACTAACAGCTTGGGACAGTGACCGGACATGAAGGTGAAAGACAAGTCACCTGAATACCATATTCTTTTACTTAAGTTTAAAGTACTATTATGCTTAAAAGAGCAATCTGTGCATTTTATACAAGAAAGGAAATAAATCAGGTAAGTTACCAAACACATAATCTTGGATTAGATATACGACTTTACCTTTTAATGATTATCAAGGTTACTACAGAGTAACCGTCAATCTAAGACGACCATAGGGGTCCAAAAGACAGTAAGATTCATCTACATTCTGTAAAATTAAATATCACTGATTGAATGTTTCAGCATACTGGTTTTACTATAAATACAGCAGGTGTGTATGTATGAATTTGACAATTTGAATTACCACAGAAGAGGTAATGTTTTTTAGCCTGATAGACTTTTTGGAAAACCAACAAATATATACTATGATCAACCTAAGGCTGGTCCTCAAGAAATACAGCCGAGCAGAGGGAAGCAGGTAACTGTTGCTGTGTATGCTTCGACTTCATTCTCAAAGCTTATTTTGAGTAAATCTTTATTTTCCATTGATCAGCCTAAAGAAAGTATATACACGAAATCACCTCAAACATTAGGAATTTCTGTATCCTAATATTTATATTTAAAATTCCAGAAGAATTGCCATGGGTATTAAACCATAGAGTGGCTCCATGTGTTTTGATGCAGTAATGGGAAGACAGAAGCTGGCCTTAGAGTACGTTAAAAATGTGTTTGTTGCTGTTCCATCCCCTTCAGTGAAGTTTTATTTGGGACAAGTCTGCCTCCTTATGGGCAGTTATCTATGAGGCTTATCACCAACAATGACTTCCCAGGAGCAAATTCAAATGGAAACAATGAATGTTTTTAAAACTTTCCGTACACACACAAACTCTGTAAGAAAGACACCGAAGATGATGAGGTGACCAGCTACTGCAACCATCGTGACAGGTTTCTTTGCATGAGCAAAGAAAAGATCTAGAAATGTACTTTCATTCTCAAAATTTTAGGATTTTTTTTTTTTTCCCCACAAACTTCAGAAGAACTAGATGACCATTCCTCAGGCATTCATTAATTCAGGTGAAGAGAATGCAAGAATGGTGGGGGAATATTTATCTGCTAGAAGATTTCAAAAGTGGCAACTCAATTAACCTGAGAATAAAAATTTTAATATTTGATCTTCAGTTGCAAAGTTTTATTATGTAATCTGAAATGCAGCAGACACAAGCTTTTCATTTTTGTAAAATTTTTTTGGATCTGTTCAGAATATCCCACAGTCAAAACCTTTGTCCTTCAAACAAGCAAATTAATTGAACTCTGTCATAATTCACATAACCCAGTTTAATAAACTTGGGACAAGCTCTGAGAGAAAAAAACGCATTTTAAGTTATATCAAATGCAATTAAATCAGATAAGCCTATTTCCCACATTACGGTTCAAAAGGGAAAGCCCAAACATTTATGAAACAGAATGAATAATAATTATCGAATCTGCAGGTAATACAAAGCTGGTAGGGACAAAATGCACAAGGATGGGCTTACAATTCACAGCAGTCTTGAACAACTGGAATGGCGGTCTGAAAACAGGTGTACAATATCCCTCCAAAAGAGGCTGTGCAAGGCACCTCATTTGAAGTAAAAACCCAACATGGGGAAGCAGCTGTACAGAAAATAGTCCGCGGGTTACAGTCAAACAACCGACCAACGCAAGCCCACAGTACATGCTTTTGCAATACTGGGGTGCACCAACCTGACTAGAGCAACAAGAAACAGCAGGTTGAACTGCGGGATGATGATGTCAGACTTGCACGTGGGATCTGCCGTTCTTGACCCGCCTTCCGGCTCACCAGAGGTTTCCACCGCGTTTGCCCCCTCTTACCACCACGTCGCACACTGCTGCTCCAGGGGAGCACGATGCTTCGGCAGCCAACCCTGCAGCGCAAACCCCAGCCCCAGCGCACTGTCCTCTATCACACGCCAGTCACCAGCTTTGACCTGAAAAGATTTCGAGGCTCCCGCCTTGCTTCTTTGCAAAGACCACCTCATCCCCTGACATACCTAGTAAATTTATCTTACAGAGGCACACTTGTAAAGCATGGGGCTCTTGCTAGGCAATATGCAGTCTAGAAAGTATTCCTAGGATATTAACACTTTTCAGCAACCTAGAGGAAGCGATACGTGAACCAGATAAACTTGCTGACAACACCTAGGTTTGCGAAAACTACTGTCAACTCAAAACCTTAAGATCAAGTTTTACTGCTGTTGACATATTTGACATTTATTTCTGTATCCTGCAAGACAAAATAACACTTTGAAGTAGTTTATGGACTCAGCAACTTCTGCAAATAAGCCTCGCATTTTGAATAAACAGTCCTGGTTTTACACTGTAAATTTATATTATACAGTTCTGCAAAGTTCAATGGGCAGTTCAAGGATTTTTGGCTCAATCAGAATTAAGATACTGCATTTAGCTTGATAAGCATAGTGGCAAAAGTTTGTTTTTCCTATTTGAGCGATACTAGCAGAAGGTGGTCAAGGAGCCTTTATTAAGAAAGTACATACTGCAACCACATTAATCCGTAATAGAAAACAAACTTCTGTTTGCATCAGGAAGCAGCACCGCAAGCCTATTGTCAGCACGTTTGTTTCAGGGAAGCTGCTTTTAATTTGTATTCAGCCTTCCATGTAAGAAGAGCATCCTGGCTGGTACACGGCCTCCAATACATTGGAAAGGACTTTGCTATATTCTTTTACAGCAAAGAGGGAGATGTCTGAACACCAAACACCCACCACTATTTATAGCTGATATACACTCTTCTTCCAGAAATAGTGAAGTCCTTGCCACAATTCTTCATCAGATCTACTGTATCCTTACCAGCAGCCAACGAAATAGGGCAGTGAAAGGAGATGAGAAAGCTCTGAAGAGAAGCTGTACATTTGCACACCTTACCCAAAGAGTCACCCCGGGTTGTGCCCAGACAAGGAAAGAGCCCATCCCGAAAGCAGGTGTAGACACACACAGTTCACAACAATCTCTCCCCCCGGTCTAGGCACCACCCTAACAGAATGAACCATGCACGTTTCCCCTAGCATTGCCCAACTTCACACGTGCTAACTAACTGGTCTGAGTTGGTAAGTCCACAGCCTATCTACTTCCCAGAATGCGTACCAGCACGGAAAGGTAGGGCATTGTTTTTCTTCTCTTCTGCCGACACACATTTATCCTTCCACATACTTCTTTCCCCGTTTATGCGAGAAGCCCATCACGTGAAATACTCTCTCTGCCGCCAGATGATGCATCGACGCAGGCAGTTGTGCTAAGCCTTGTGCCAGCTCCCCCGTACATCCCACCCCACACGCGCAGACCCCACTGTTCTTCCCACTGCTGCCTTGCCGCTCATCGGTCTTTAGGAAAGTCACCCAGTTTCAGTTAACACCCAGTTCAGGCCTTAATACCGGTCTTAGCTGCTACCTTCTAGCTAAGCCCACAACTGATAAACACTTGAAGAATACCACCGGTCTGTCTCATAAGATAACACAGAAAAGTTGTGACAGACAAGGATTTACAAAGCGGTAAATAGCACTCACTTATGCCTAAAGGTCTTAGCATCCCTGCGATGCTACCAGTACCACCCAGAAGATAAGATGCACCTGAGGCATCGACGGGTGAACACTCAGCAGTTTTCCCCACCAGGTTTGACCAAATTTTCTACTCTGTAGTGACCAGCTGTTTGTTTCAAACCCTTCCCTTCTACATTCCCCCTTCACTTTACTCCACAGCTGCCTTTTCACACCGCTTTACCATCTCTACCATCACCCTCCTTCTTTCCTGTTTAAGAAAAAAATTTTTTAAAAAAAACCTGTCTTTAGTGAATGCACTGATTAATAGACTTTGTCAAAGGTGATGTGAAAAAGGTAGTGTCAGAAGCCACTGCAGAAGATTTATTTTCCAGTTCTGGAAACTGAGTAATTGCTTGGTTAGCCTACAGAATTTGCATTATTTTAACAGAAGCATGTAGGAAGTCTTACCATTAATGTCAAATGCATCCCTCTAGGCTAAAGGAGATGCAGAAAGCCTATTTTCTAGATCCGTGATGAAAAGACAGGAGTGGTTGAGCAGATCATTCTTAATTGATGGCAGCTGCAGGAGATTTGCTCTTTCTGCCTCTGCTCTGAGCTTCCATAAAGAAAACGATTTCATCTACATTTTCATACAATTCAAGAGACAAATTTAATCAGCCCCCAGAATCTTCCCACACTGGTAGATTCTTCACCGGAGTCGTGTAGTGGATAATGGGATAAGGGACCTCCTGCTTTCAAGTGCCTGAATCTCCAGCACTGATGTGACTTTTTAGGACACAAATACTAGAAGAGACATTAACAACACTACCATTAGTTTAATATGACAAAGTGTGCTCTTAAACACAGCGAACCCAACCTAACAGGTGGCTGCCAGCAAGAAGCCTGGCTCCACAAGCATGTTCCTGCTGCTTTGCCCAGGCCAGCCAGGGCATTTGACTGTGCCAGTCCCACACAGGTGTGGAGAGCTATCCTTGCAGAGAACTACAGAAGAAGTTTAAAAAACAAAGCAACAAAACCAAAATTTTCTTCTAGGCCATCTTCGTGAACATCACTGCAGCAAACACACAGTGATGGCATTCACAGAAGGGTCCTCCTTTCCTAGAGCACCACTAGCTAAAGCACAAACCAACAACTGGAGGTGACTGGTGACAGCCAACATGGCTTCACCAAGGGCGAATTGTGCCTGACAAATTTGGTGGCCTTCTACGACAGGGTTACACCTTTGGGGATAAGGGAAGAGCAACTGAGAGCATCTACCTGGACTTGTGCAAAGCATTTGGTGCTGTGCCACACAACATCCTTGTCCCTAAACTGGAGAGACGTGGATTTGATGGACGGACCACTCGGTGGGCAAGGAATTGGCTGGACTCAAAGAGCTGCGGTCAACAGCTCGATGTTCAAAAGGAGACCAGTGACGAGTGGCGTTCCTCAGCGGTCAGCATTTGGGACTAGTGCTGTTTAACATCTTTGTCGGCGACATGGACAGTGGGATGGAGCTCATCCTCAGCAAGTTTGCCCATGACACCAAGCTGTGCAGTGCAGTCGACACGCTGGAGGGCAGGGATGCCATCCAGAGGGACCTGGACAGGCTGGAGAGGTGGGGCCGTGCAAACCTCATGAAGTTCAACAAGGCCAAGTGCAAGGTCCTGTGTATGGGTTGGGGCAATCCCAAGCACAAACACAGGCTGGGCAGAGAATGGATCAAGAGCAGCCCTGAGGAGAAGGACTTGGGGGTGGTGGTTGACAAGAAAGTTAAACATACAGGAGGGAAGCCATAGCAGGGAAAGCGTGGTTGTTTGAAACCTTCATGCTACAGAAGTACGTTCGGCTGTAAACAGACTTTTTTTTTTTTTTTTCCTTTCTTTAAACATATCCCTACTGCATTACAAGTCAATTGCCAATATTCACATTCCGCAGGGCTATTCTATCTAGTACAGCATAGCTGCTACAATCTCCAGCCTGCCCAGGTGAACTCCAAAATGTTTAATTGCAAGGTATTTCTTAAAAATCAATCTGTATGACCGTTACAATCCATTTCTTGCGGTCCCTCGGTATCCTCCGGCTATCTCAGCCACCAGCAGACGTTACCGTCCAGACTGTTTTGGAGCAAGATGTTCCAGGAGGAAAAGTTCTCCCTCCCAGGGGCCGACTTGTGCTCTGGTGCAATCATAGATAGATTATTAATACACAAATCACAGAGTTCTTAGCTGTGTTTTGTGCAAACTGTTCCAGTGTGGTTTCAGTGGCTCTTGTATTGAAGAGCATCTAGAGGGTAACTATGCAGCACACATGGATGATCATCATACCGAATGCAAACCATCTCACTGCATCACTGGATTTGCTATTGTGCCTTCTGAGACCACCCGTTTACTTCCAACACTTTTCAGATCCCTTCAGAGCAACTCTACTGTACAACAGAGGAAAAAAAAAAATCAAGCTTGCTTTTTTCTTTTTTGGCAAAGTGACTGCAGAACCGCTTTGACACCAATCTTAGTTTCTTGTTAAACCTATACATGAAATAAAAGCTCCTCCCTTGCCTCTTCTAGCGTAAGGCTCCTTTCTCTCAATTACCACATCTAATGCATCTCTAGACCACTCCAAGCCAGAAAGTTCCTTTTATTTCTCCACTCCAGCCCTTCCCATCATCCATAGAGGACTGGGACTAGAACGTAACTAGAGATGGATTTCAAAAAAAAAAAAAAAAAAAAAAAGGAAGAAAAAAGACCTTTCAATTTTTTTAATGCTATTATTTTATCCTCAGCTGGGAGTTAGTTGCCTGAATTGCAGAGGAAGTACTCCCAAGAGACAAATAAAAATCACCATTTGTTTTCAGCATCATTTAAGGGAATGTCTCACTGTTGTAGGTAACCTGCAATGCCTTGGCACTGACAAACGCACCTTGAGCGCTCTTCACTCCGGAGACCTCCAACTGGAAACCAGTCCAGAAGAGAAAGGAAGGGCTTTCAAAGGGCTTGGTCAGTCCTCTACCACGCAATTTGTGTGCTCTGGAAATACTCAGAACATGGCTATACGATATACAGAAAACGAGCTAACCACTTCCCTCCTGCTGTATGTACATTAGTGAATGTCCTGTTTTAAATTACCATCCGCCTTAGTGACCTTAAATTTCTCTCCCTATTTCAGAGACATAGGATCTAGGAATCTCTTGCAGTAAGTTCCTTAGTCTGTATTTCCTTAGTTATGGACAGATGTGAAAGGTACCATATGAGATTATTGCTTCTGCAGCAAGCAGCAAAGCCCCTGCAAATATTTCCACCTCATAGAGCATGGGAGCAGACCCTACCATTGAGTTTCATAATGAAAAAGCACACACCTGGTTTAACTTTTCAATAGAAACAAAGGTGACACCACTGTAAATTAGCATTTGGGTCTTCAGTAGTTTTGTGACCCCCAGATTTTGACAGCTTTTGAAAAAACCCCCAGAACTTTTACAGCCAAGAAACAAAGTCTTCCCCAGCCTAGTAACATCTCAAACCTCACATACGAAGCCACACGTGAACTTTTGCAGAGAAAGAGAGGGTGCAGGGTAGATAAAGCGTGCTGGTAATTTTTCTTTCACAGTGTACTACTTCCAGAACTTCATGCTAACAGCTAGGTTAATTATTTATACTCCGAGAGCTTATTTTGAACCCAGCTCCTGCTCCATCCCTTGCAGCGCTCGCACGCCCCCCACCATGGCCAGCAGGTCAGGAAGCCAATTGACGGGACCGGCCAGTTCATTTTACTGGACTACTTACCAGCCAAATTAGCAAATACGGCTTCCCTCTTGATGGCAGCACAAATTCAAATCGATCTGTGCTCCCAGCCACTCTCTCCTGGTACAGCTATTTTGGCTGACTCTCTTAACTAAGATGGTTATTCATCCTAGCAAGGAAATTCGTTTGCCAGTATAGTTTAAATTGCAAATAAGCTATAAGGAGAAAGGATTTTCAGTGTTGAGACTTTAGTCTGCACAAGTAGCTTTGTTACAGATATGATTCTCCCAGCACCCGAGTACCCTTCAGCCAAACTGACACTGGACCAGGACTGCAGTTTCACACCTGTGGGCAGGGGTACCTCCTCACACCAGCATAAAGACCTCACCCATCCTTCTCTCATCCCTTCCTGGCTATCTCTGCACAAGCACCACACAGCTACACGGAAAACTGGTTCAGTTAATGGATCTGAATTAAGGCTAACAGCATAAAACGTACAATCCATACTTCAGTCTTTAAAAACTAGTCTTTAGCCATCCCCTAAAATTTAAATATTAAACCCAAAGCCTTAAATCATTCTACTTCAAGATCACAGCCTGTATTTAATATTACCTTCAGCTTTAGTTGTCCAATTTGCACAATCGACTGACTGTTTAACAGGACGTGTGACCTTTAGGAGGACACCTTTCCTCACATTTTCCTTCAATAGGTTTGAAATATTCTGTTTTATTAGTTTCAGAAAACGCTCAAGAACCATCATTGGTCTGTGGTACATAAAACCCCATCCCTCATAACAGTAGTTCTGCTTCACACCTTGAAACCAACCTCTTAAAGTCTATTTTAAAATATTAAATTTGCAGTGCTCAGCTGATGACTTACAAGTTATTCCCATTGCTTTCAAATTTAGGCTGAAAGGTGACAAAAGCAAGATAAAAAAGAAGCATATTTAAAGCATGATTCTCTTCCACATTCAGCTACAACTCTTAAGTAAATATACAATGAAACATATCTGGCATTAAGTAGATCTTAAGAGTGTCTGTAGGATTTTTCTTTTTTTAGTAAGTGAAAGTGGCTAACCTACACCGTGTTTATTTTCCAATTTAATAAGAGCACAAAATACTTACCCCTTGGGATCCTTGAAACTGAACTGAAGGTTGGGAAGAAAGACGATCCTACGAGAGAAAGAAAATAAGGAGAAAGTAAGCAAAACGACAAACCCTCACACTCTGGCAGAAGTTATTTCTCTGCAGAAAAAGAAGGTGGCTGTGCCCACAGCAAACCAGAGGGCTCCTTGTGCCCCTACCATGATGCAGACCCCAGCGAGCATCAGCGGGTCTGGCCTCTGGTTGTGGGTCTGGTCTCCTCGCAGCACCCAAGGTTTCCTCCACTCAAGAGCTGGTCCTTTATCGTGCTTAGCAAAGGCACCTGGGCACCATGGAGGAGTCTGACCCAACCCTGAAAATTGTACAACGGTATCTGCTGGCACTGAAAGGGAGAACTCCTCTTCCTCCTCTGCCCAAAGTACCCCTGAAACCTGCGAGTCCAAAACAATGTGCCTTCCTCCTCCCAAACCCTGCCCCACTGTCCTGGTCACTTACGGATTGGCATTGACTATCGAACGACACCGTTACGACGTGTACTTGAGTTCTGGGAATCAGCTGGAACTCGGTGATTAAGGCAGGCAACCTGCCTCCTTGAAAGGTCTTGATAACAACAGCTTTCCTCATCAGGACAACGCTCAGGCCCCCTTCGCTTCCCACTGTCACAGGGGACCGGCTCTTTGCCCAGACCCCTCCACGCACGCACCAGCACTGCCAGGAGCACCGGCAACACCGCAAACCAAGCCTCCCACCAGAGCACCTTTCACGCGGCTCCCAGTCCGGCTGTCCTCAGGAAGGCAGGGAAAAGCACCCCTCTTCTGCTCCTACACTCTTAAGTTAAGCTAATTAACTTTCTCTTAAAGACGAAAAGAGATTTGGTACAACCAAACTTGCTCCAAAAAACTTCTGAGCTCCCCCAAACAATCCTCACTTCTTCAGCTACGTATCTGCCAAGGGAAATATGCAATATGGCCAAAAATAACAAAGGCTGCCTGCACCTTGTCTCTATAATTTCACAGCACCGAGCGCAGCCTCTTTCTGTCCTGAGGGGATGGAAGCGTGCTGCACTGCTTCTCTGCTGACACCGCAGTCCAAGAAGACTCACAAATGTTATGGGAAAAAAAAATTAATTAAAAAAATCAAGGAGCTTGCATGCTGGAAACTACTTTTCTCTGTCACAAGTTGGCTTTTGGTCAGATCAGCTCCTCGACACAGCCCAAACAGCTACACCACCAGTGCCAGCAGGAGCCCGCTGATAAGAATATCCCATTTTAGCAGCAATGCTGACTTCGCTCAGCTTTACTGAATCCTGAAATTATGCTGCTGGACACAAAACCATAGCGCAGCTATGCTGACTAGCTCAGTTTGCTAGGCTTTGTCCACAGGGTGTTACAGAGAGTTTGCCAACCTGCTGCAAATGCACTAAACAAGTTGCACCAAAGGATGAAATCCTAGTGAATACAGACTTTATTCCAGCAAAAGCAAGTGCTTAGGAACTTAAAACCTAGTGCCATTCAGGAGCGTTCAGGACTCAGCATCACTGGAAAGGTGAATTAGATCCAAGCCCTGTCCTCCCCTCCCTCCAGCCTCAGGTTCTTCCTCCTTCACTTGCAATTGTCTCACCCTTTTGCAATAAAATCTCACTCATCCAGGAGAAAAGTCCCCACGCTGGGCTTGGCGACGAGCCGATGCTGCCCAGAGGGGTGCCAGCGGAGGGCAAGCAGCAGGAGTGCACGACTAAGCCGAGCCTCACCGGTGCTCAACGTCAACTGTGAGCATCACCCAACGCGGCAAAATCCTGGAGAGGGTCTTGGGCAGAAATAATACCACTGTAGAGCTGGAGTTCCCACACCAGTTGGTGGTCGGGTCTTTAAAAATGACTATGCTTGTTTTGCCATGATCAGAGCCTTACACACAAACTGAAGTTACACAGCAGCCAACAACACGTACAACCTTAAGCCCTGAAATGGCTTGCTGCAAATTTGTTTGCTCCTCAAACTTTCTGACTTAAAACTTTCTCGCTTCAAAAGTGAGCTGAGTTTCACGCTACTAATGTACCCACCTGCGTAACCAGCACATACAAGTAAACTCATTTTAAAAATGCAATGGGTTACATACGCAAAGTCTGGCGCACAGTTATAAATCCTAACCCTTGTCTGAAGTTTTCCAGGATGAAGTTTAATGCTCCACACAGAAACTGACATGTGATGGCAATTCACAGAACACCAAGCCAGGCAGGCAATGCAATGACTGCATAGGACCGTGCAGCAGCCATCCCCTTCTTACAGCAGCTCACAGAATTTGACACAAGCTGGTTTTTGAGCTGGAGAAATCGTGCTGGCACAACCAGCCACCACCCCTGCTTCGGTGTGAGGAAATATCAATCTTAATTTATCAGGGCATCAAGCAGAAAGGTCTCGCCTACACGCTGGCAGGTGGTCTGGAGCATCAGGCTGCCGTGGCAGGGAGTGGGGCAGGAGACCTTGGCCCTCCAGCCAAACTTTCTGTCACCCCCTGCGTTTGATGAGCCGACTGCTCTGAATAATCACCACACAGACCTCAGGCTTCAGCACGGAGGCAGAAAGTTCTCCAGCCCCCTCTTCCCTCTGCTCCCCCAGGATCACCTAGCTTTCCTGCGTTTCTTTTCTCACAGCGAAGAGTGCGAAGTTTTGGAGAAGGGGCTCTCTGAGGGAGACTAGGAGTCCCAGTGCTTTCCCATGCCCATTCCTCTCATACTTCTCTGCAACCCACCCTTGTTAGGAGTGTTAGAGTGTGCATCCCTCGTTAGCCCTGTTCTGCATCCTTTCACACAATTTCTGTCCACAAGTTAGTCTAGTCCCTGTCCAAACTCCCCAATACTGCCTGTTCCCAGCCTCCTATGTCAGCAAGGTGCAGAAGTCCACCATGCAACAGGTGAGCAGACCCACCTGCTTTACTTTTATCTGCTGGTTCCATCAGCTGCCGACTCGCTCCAGTATTGCGAGATGCAGTCAGTATCAGCCCTACTGTCACATCACCTCTGATTCCCCAAGCCACAGTCCTGCATCCTTCACTCCCCAGCAGAGAACCCCCGCCTCCATCGTCTCTCCTTGCAAGGCACGTGCTACAGCTGGAGAGGGCGAGCAGAGGACACCTCTCCTCCCTCGCATCCCTCACAAACCAGGATTGCACAGGGGACTCAAAACGTGGGTGCCCAAGAGCTTCACACAGGACGAAAGGGACCCTCTCCATCACCCTTAACGCCCTCCCAGATGGTGCCCAGCTCTTTGCTAGCTTTTCTGGTTCATGATGCACACCAAACAAATTACTTCTGAGGACTGGAAACCTACATGTTACTTTTTTCTATGGTGAAAACCATATGCCACCTTTTTTGCCACTGATCCAGATTGGCAAGGTCTTTCTGGAGCTCCTCAGCACGACTTTTTGGCCACCTGAAAAATCCGAGTATCACCTCCAAGCTTTGACATCTCAATACCTTCTCCAAGCCACTGCTGAACATGTTAAGTGAAACTGGCTCCAGAACTGACACCTGGGAAATCAGAGGTGGACTGGCTTCCACCCCGAAGAGCCACCAGTAAGCCAGACCCATTTCCACTCATCGTTCCTCCAGTGCCCATCCGTCCAGCATCACCTCTCACCTAACATGTGAGATGACCCCCCCCTTCCCAATCTGCTCTCACCAGTTTGGCCAGTTCACCCAAAACTTCTGGAACAATGCAAACGTGAAAACCCTATGAAAACCTGGGGCATAAACTGCAGAGTCCCGCCTAGTTAATCTAAGGAAGTGATCCTGGAAAAACTGTCAGTGCCCGAAACAGCTGAAGCAACACGTGTATCGCCTTGCTAAGGAACAGGAGTAATCAGGCCTCAACTCAGCAGGAAACCAAGCTACCAACAGCTCCAGGCACACTTCACTTAAGTAATTACTCTTTATTTGCATCTGAAAATTTTATTTAAGATAAAGTTCTCCTATATAGGACTGGTTAAAAAAAAAAATAAATAGCTAGAGGAGCTGCAACAGTCAGGTCTTAGATTTGGTGGGCTAAAACTCAAGAGCTAGACAGCTTTATTCTCCAGGTCCATTATTTTGCTTAATAGTCTTTGGGCAGGGACCGCGTCTGCTCACAGGACTTGAGATCTGCACACACACATGGCACACTGCAAATAACTCAGATATTTATAAGGCACCACCCTTGTATATGAAGCTAATTATCTACTGTTTTTCAGGCATGTTGACTCAGAGTGAGCAGAAGATGCCTTTGTATCAGCACATTAGAGACCACTGTGTCTAATAAAATTTTTCATATGCTTCAATAATTTTTGAAGAGTATGCATGATGCAGAAGGAGGGTAGTACAAGACACCAGTGCTGTCTGGCAAAGCCACCCTAAAGATTTACCCCCTCCTCTCCCCTCCTGCTTTTGGCAGCTTCTCTTCCCTGCCTCAGGACTTACAGCCACCCACCAAGCCCAGAAAGGTTATTTGTCACTTCAGAGCATGGCCATGTATCAGCATAACTTATGATGAGGAATTCTACAGGTCTCCTCGCAAGGAGAAGAAAAAGCATTTGGAAGGAAAGGCTACCTGCACTAATAAAGTCCATTAAATTACTACTGACAGCATACCACCGCCCCGGAGGATCTCTCCTCACGTACACGCTCCAGCGAGCATCAGTCACATCGTGCTTTCCAATGGATGCAAGGACCGAGGAACCGAGGCCGCCAGCCAGGCTGCACTTAATGAAGTTTAGATTGCCAACTCTGACCCCCAAATGTGTAATATATTGAAACAGCCATGTTGCGAAGTGGCAGAGCCATTTTGATACACAGGTATGGAGATACAACAGGAATTTATCCTCCTTTGGTGTATCCATTCTGGTTAGTTTTGGAGTTACATTGTTTTGTTGGTGGTGGTTTTTTAAATGTAAAATACCTTCACATGATCCAGACAGTACTTGGCAAGCAGGAAAACCCACAACATTGAAAAAAGCCTTAGACCACAGCTCGACAGCTTGGTTACTCTACAAATCCTAGAGACACAGTGCTCACCACTACACCAGAGTACTTCACAAATACCAGTGCATTTAACCCCCTATTCACCGTAGGTGAGCACTAGTACCGTTTTACAAGCAGTAACAGAAAGTGATGATTACGATCTACGTTAGCTGGTAGTTTTGGGCGTCAGATGTGAAAAATCCAAGTTCTGATTTTCACTGAGACTCCTTGGCACTTCATATTCTCACCTGTAGCTCCTGGTTCCTTTCATTCTACCCACGAGCAGCACACAGCAGTGGCAGATCACACAAGGGATGCTGCCAAAGGGAGCACTCGACTGTCCAGTGCCAAAACCAGTCTGCCAGCACTGGCACCGGGACAAGGAAAGCAGCAGTAGTCTGTAGATGCAGATGGGAATGGGCCTTCCAGGTGCATCTCATCAGCTCGCCCCATCTCCTGGAGCCACAGCACTGATGTTGCAGCCCTGGGGCCAGACAGGAGCAGCCTTGGGAGGGGGAAAGCGGTGGAGGTGCTGGCTCTGAAGGTAGCACTGCCTTTCCTAGGGAAGCTGAGAAATAGATCTACTTAGCTGCAATGAAAGACAAAGTTGTATTTTGGGAGGGCGAAAGCGGTGGAGGTGCTGGCTCTGAAGCACTGCCTTTCCTAGGGAAGCTGAGAAATAGATCTACTTAGCTGCAATGAAAGACAAAGTTGTATTCTTACTGCATGGCCATCACTCAACAGCCCACGGTGCCTGAAAGAGGAAGGTCCAGCTCCCTTCAGCACTTGTGAGTCTCTTCCTCAACCTCATTCAACTCACTAACCTAGAAGAAGACATTCTCAAAAAATAGTTAAATGGGTAGTTTTCTCCAGTGGAAAGAAATGGAAAAGGACTTTCCCCTTTCAGGCATCATAAAACCTCACATCAGTTCAAGTCATCTCAAAATTTCACTCTGGACGTTCAGCATAGTTGTGTCTCTAGTGATCACCTGTGCAGCATGCAGGTAAGGCACTACGATCAAGCCATCACATTTGCTAGGACCGTATTTAACTGCCCTGAATTTTTCCTGCAGTCCCATGTCTCATCAGCCACAACCTTCTGACATCTGAAACAGGAAACACATCTTAGTCACTTCATACCAGACCTCTGATTTATCTAGGGCAGTCCCGTGCACTAGACAAGGTAGGAATTCTGCGGGAAGGTAACTCATCAATGCCACTGGGAGATGGCTACCACCAGCTACCACCCAGCTAACCCAAAGAAACTGTAGGGATTAAGATGTTTTTCCCCCAGTAACAGATTTGTTTGAAATTGGACTCAGAAGTTAGTGACAACACAGAAACACGCAGAGTGACGGAACCCAGACCTTGCTGCCATAATAAAACAGGTTCAAAAGAGCTTGCAATCAACCAGTCATTGATGAAAATGCATTTATAATGCATACTTCTACTGTTTGAATCAATTAACTCTGCATTATCAGTTACATCATACATTAAGATACACATAATCTTAGATTTCAAGAAATCAAACAAAAATAGACACACAACTTAACAGCTCTCCATCAGTGTATTTAGACTGGCAACCTAGAGGCAGAACCACAGAGATGTCACATAGGCGCATCCCCTCTTTTCCACAGAAGCGAACATCGCTCCCCTGCAGTTTGGATACTGGTGGCAGATTTTCACCTTTGTGCCGACGGCAGAAGGGAATGACCTGGGCTCCCCCAGCTCCGCTGTAGGCTCTGGAAGTGCCCTGCAGGAACCAGACTCTCCCACACACTCCTCTTCCTCGGATCACAGAATCTTCTAGGTTGGACAGGACCTTTAAGATCATCGAGTCCAACTGTAAACCGATGATCGTCAAGTCTCTTCCCTCAACCTCCTCCAGCCATGCTTTTGCTCGCTGCCAGCTCACCTCACCCCATTCCCTTCCCTGGGAGACAGGAGGGATGATAACCAGCCCCCCTCAGCCCTTGTCTGCCCCCTCAGAGCTCCTAATAATTCTTGCTCCCAGTCTTCTCCATCACTCCCAGTTAACCCCAGTTTGCTTTTCTCTTTTCCTAGGGCTTATCTTCCCAGTCTTTTTGTCTCATCCCCTTTAGTTGCCCCTCCAGCCACATCCCACATTGTTAACTACCCAGCTGCTCATCTAAGGTAGCATCTCCCCACTGCAGGTACCAGAGCCCATCCTTACACACCTTCATCTAAATCCAGCGCAGCTGTGGGGACATCCAAGCTACAGTTTTGAAAAGGCTAACAAGGTGTCCACCTTAGAGCTGACCCCTGGCCTAAGACGTCTGCCCCATCTGTGAGCAGAAGTGCATCCTCGTTCCCAGCAGGACACCACCAGAGCTCCCTAAAAGACCAAACCTTTCAAACAAGTGAGTTTCCTAATCCCCAGTCCAAACCCTGGCCACCTGAGGCAGATATAAGCCATAGGAAAACCCGACCCTGGTAAATGAAATATGGCAGAGCCCTCTGACTCCATTTCAGTCGCTTAGAGCAGGCGAACATCAGGCAAAGATCGCATCTTTTCTTCTCTGTGACTCAGCAGCTCCGCATCTGGAACATCCCAGTGACCGTTTGAAGAACAAAAACTTAAACGCAAAACAGATTCCTAAAAGTCGCAATTACCCTTTGCTTTGAAAAGCTCAGATTTTACAGGCCAAAACCTTCGCTTTAACAGTATGCAGAATAAAATATAACACCTCCAGCTGCTTTTACTTGGAGAAGCACAGTTGAAACATGACTGTCGACGGACGTTAATCCTCCAATAAGCCACATCAGTTGAAGGCAGCGCTTTGCAGACACTACTGTGCAGTATTCTCTGATCTGCTTCAGAGTAGTCAGCAGATTAAGTCAGGACATCACCAGTAAGAGTGAAATTATATGCTGTACTTAAGCCAGATGAGAGGCTCCAGTGCACCAAGGCAAAATGACTCCATTTCCCTTTAACCTGTTCTCTTCATAGTGCTGCTGAGGATCACACAGTAAGCCAACTTTACAGCTAAGCCAGCAAAAAGTGGTATTTTTTTTTTTTTCTTTTCTTCTCTGGGCTAAGTTTCTGCACAGAGGGTGGAGCTGCATGCTATAACTTGAGCTAATCTAATCAGTTGGCTGCCACTGAAAAAAGGAGGTTCTGCTCCCACCACTTATCCTAGCCACGTGCTCTCTGTGCTCTCCCACTGCATTAGTTCTCACGCTGCTCCATCCGGCACTAAACCAGTGTGGAAGAAGA